GAATTCACTAAAGTGCTCTGGATGTTTGAACTTTAGTCTCCTGGCCATACGTAATCCCTTTTAGTCACCTATTCGTTCATTCAGTCAAGCATAAAAAAGATTAGCATGTAAGATATTTTAGTATCATATATTTTTACTATTCTTTTTATAGTTTTCATAGCCTCACAAGCGTTAGAGAGCGTGTATTGCGACACATTTTTGTGTTTTTACTGTAGTGGTACTGCAGTGGTTTTAGACACTTGTTCGTTTATTCAGGAATATTCTGCATTGAAAACCTAAAAATAGACTTACATTATACAAAACCATACAATTTAACAATATCTGGTGTTGTTTTCATAGCCTTTTGAGCATTTGAAAGTGTTTATCGCTGTGCATTTTCTTTGTGGTGCTCCCCTTTCTCCTGGTAAAGAGATTTTTAGGTGATCGGTTTCGGTTTAGCCTCTCTCTCTAGACAAAAGGAGCACGGAGCGAGTCCAGAAGCCCGCTGTGCGAGCCAGGCTGGAGACAAAGAGCTTTGTGACCGTTTTCATGTGGAGGCCTGGGGAGAGGGTAGACAGAGAAGCAGTGTGTTTGCTCCCAGGGCCTCTTCCTACTGTATCCTCCACGCTGGTCACTGACTCATACCCAGGCCGGTGCCTAGCGCACCATTCTGTCCGCTTCACCCCCTCTGCCCTTGCCTGATGTGGCACAGAGTCTGCCTGCTCGAAGATGGAGGGCCCTCTGAGCTGCGCCTGAGGAGAGGAAGCAAAGAGAGGCGTTCGCGGAGGCAGCTGGCTCTGCCTCAGCGGCTTTAACTCACAGCCTTCAGCCCGCAAGCCTGGCACCAACGCCAAGGGTGCCAGGCTTGAGGGCTAAAGGCTGTCGGCTAAAGCTGCTGTAGCAGAGCCAGCACTGTGGAGGTGCTAACCCTTAGGACAGTGCCCGTGTTTCAATCCGCGTTGTATTCTTACACTGTACACTTTGTACTTCACTAGCTAGCAGAAGTGTCCCAAGTCCAGTTAAAAGTCCTGTTCTTGATTTTGTACCATAGGCTTTGCTAATCAATTCTACCTAGCTAGCTAGCACTAATTAGCAAATACGCTATGTACTTCACTAGTTAACAAGTCTTGCCATGATCTTGTATCAGTGAGCTCATTTTGCTAATTCTACCTAGCTACCTTGAGCTAATAAGCCAATTCAGGTAGCTGACAAAATTCTGAGAACTAGATTCTAGATCTAGAACTAGATCTGTCCACCTCTGTTGTCTAGTGCGCTAAATTTGCAATCTATGCAAGCAAGTGCTAATTTAAAAAAATCTGAAATGTTCACTCTGAACTTTTTTGTGTCTTTATTTGTCTAAGCTGTTTTGCTCAGTGTGATGACTGTTGTGCTTTCTGGTGGCTCCTCCAAAACGAATGGCAGCCATAGATGTAATGCAAACAGTGTGCAACATTACACACTATTGTTTTCGGCAGCTCTATGTGCTAACCAGATTCTTTACACTTGCACATCTCATTTACAAAATAATTAAAAGAATCATCCTTTAAAAGGTTCTTTAATGAACCTGAGTGGTTCTTCTATGGCATAAAGCCCCCTTTTTGATACCTTAATTTTTAAAAGTGTAGTACATTAGTTGTATGTTCATTTGGTTGCATTTTCTTTTGTGAACACATTGCTCATACACTGCGGAAGGACTTTACTTGAGACACAGCTAATGAGTGGAGGCTGGGAGCTAAAGCCTGGGAGAATAAGGTGGGGGCAGTGTGTGCAGCACTCCGCTGCCACCTGCTGGTCAAAAATGTCCAGTGCACCACCTCTCCTGGACCCCAACCACAGCCAGCCTTAATTACTGCATGCTTCAGTTGTTCTAAGTGCATGTCAGAACAAATTATGTAAGTAATGAGGCTGAAAATGCTAAAGGAATAGGAACACACTGGCGCTCTAATGCTCGTGGCGGGAGAACATGAAAACAAACAATCGAGTGTAGTGCCCGCATGGCGAGGGCCCACCACACTGAGACAGCACACAAAAAAGGGAGATAATTATACGTTTCTCTTAAAATATTCATTACAGAAGTAGCTCATCAGAGAAGGCTTGGGCTAGATGGTCTTATTCTGAAGTAATCTGGCTACACTGTGGTGGTAATCATAGCTGATTACGGGCCGTAATGACTCCAGCGTGCCATGGCCTGAGATGCATTCTCTAGAGAGGAGGGGATGGCTTCTGTCGGTGCTCTGTATGTGCCGGCCTGACTGACGTGTTGACTAATACAGTGTTTACAGGCTGAGAGAGCATGTTGACGGGGCGGACCATTCGGTGGTTATGCAGAGAGGGTTAGTAGATCAGCCATTTGAAGGGTGGGTGAGTGAGTTTTTGTACATTTTCAGGACAAAAATACAGAAATGCTACAGTTGCTACAATATAAGGTCCTCATTTTGTAAAGTACTTCCTTAACTACATTGATTTCTGAGTTTAAGCTTAGGTTCAGGGTTAGGCTTAGAAAAATCTTATTACATACAGATAGTTACATGCCACAAAGGTTGTTTGAGCAATGCCATAGAAGAACCCCTTTTGGTTCCCTAAGGAACCATGTTTAATAGAGAGATTTGTGACTGTGAAGAATCTTTTAAAGGTTTAAAGAGCATTCACCACTTTAAGGGTTCTGCCATTATATGGAGGTTCTTTAAACTTTACAAAAGTTAATCTTATTTCCAAAAATGGTTCTCTAAAGAACCATTCACTGGAAGTAGGATATTTGATTCATATCGATATTGGCAGATAATCGCTCACAAAAAATATTGCCATTAGGCAGATGTTTAGATTCTATATTTCTAACCGATATTTGAAGATGTATTAATTGTACTCCATAAGAGGAGAACATTTAGGTGATGCTGGGGTACACTGTTAAAAAGATGGTTCTTTAAGGGTTCTTTAGTAAAGAAAGTGGTTCTGTATAGAAGTTGCATGATTAAAAGGGTTCTTTGCATCATGAAAGGGTTCTTCAGATTGATGGAGAATGTGCTGTAGATGGTTCTATATAGCACCCAAAAGGGTTCTTCTATTGTTACAATGTTAAGCTTATAACAATAGAAGAGCCCTTTTGGGTGCTATATTGAGCCTTTTTCAAAAAAGGTTCTATATAGGACCATCTACAGCACATTCATGCACATTTTCCATCAATCTGAAGAGTGTGTGCAGCACTCCGCTGCCACCTGATGCTGGGGTACACTGTTAAAAAGATGGTTCTTTAAGGGTTCTTTAGTAAAGAAAGTGGTTCTGTATAGAAGTTGCATGATTAAAGGGTTCTTTGCATCATGAAAGGGTTCTGCAGATTGATGGAGAATGTGCTGTAGATGGTTCTATATAGCTCCCAAAAGCGTTCTTCTATTGTTACATCTGAAGAACAATTTCATGATGCAAAGAACCCTTTAATCATGCTAAGGGTTCTTTAAGTATTAATGGTTCTATATTGAACCATTTTCTTTACTAAAGAACCCTTGAAGAAGTGTCCTTTTCAAGAGAATAATATACTGAAATGTCTTCCCATTTTTTAACCCTATACATAGAAGTATTACTATTTTGTAATGCTAATCCAGACAGATTTTCTTCTAATTTAATAAATGACTTCAGCAGATATGTGCACGAAAGATATCGGATATTGACATCAGCCCTCACTACCTGTATCAGTGCATCGTTAATTGAAACCCTTTTTGTCGCTTTTATTTTTAAGATAGTTGGCCATATATAATACTATATATAATACACATGCATGACCTCATGTCCTTACATTGTATAAAAACAAACCTTTGTGTAAGTGTTTCCCTCGGGGACGGCGTGAGGCTCTGACATTATCCAGATGACACAACAGGAGCTCGCGGGCAGCTGATAAAATGGGCAGCAGAGGCAAATTTGATGTGAGCAAATGAATTCCGAGCGATTAGATTTATGAGGTTCAACGAAGTATTATAAAGCTACTGTCTTTGTCTGGAGACAGGCGGGTGGCTGCAGGGAGCTTTGGCTCAAGATCTGATTTCTGTCAAGTAGAAATAAAATGCTTAGGCTACATTAAGCAGCACCTTTTCTGCTCTAATCCCACAATGAACACAGAGAATTTGCACAGTCAGGTATATTCTGCTAGGCTTTGTGATTTATGTATGTTAGCACAGATCTGGGTAATTGGCACTGATCCTATCGTTTAAATGCTGAAATGCTGTATATTGAGCTACTATATTGCAATAGCCATTGTTTGTTCTAGCATAGCATGCTTTTGACTGGGAACCATCATGACATCTGTGTTGTCTGAGTCAGTATATTTATGATAGAGTGGAAATATAAGGCACAGATGTTATTCCAGTGTTATCAGTATGGTCTTCCACTCTATTTCCAGAACAGACCACACAATTTGCCCCAATACAAGTTTCTCTGATGTTGAATTACATTCTTACCAATGAGTACTTGTCTGTTGTCTGAAAATAGGATATTGTACATATAAATGCACAATACATATTGTGTACACTGTATATTGCTACAGTTTCCAATAAATCAGCAGCCGTCAGTGTCCACCTGTGCCCCCTTTCTTGTACTACAGAGGGGACCTGCCTTTCTCAGCAGTTGTGAAAGATTTGTTTGGGCTAACATGCCTTTGAAGGCAGCACACAGTCCTTATTCACTCCTGAAATAAGTCCAGTGCTGTAGGTGCTCCTTGTCAAACAGTTGGCCTGTTATTGCTCCCCAAAGGGTCTGGTAGCAGTTAAGATGTGGGTATTTTGTGGGTATATTTATGCTGCTAACTGACATTGTTATTGCCGTGGTTTGCAGGGGGTTGTGTTCAGAGTTAAGATGGCCTCCTCTGTAAGCCGTGTAGTTTCAGCTTTCAGCGCATGGCAGGGAAGAGATGCGTTTGAAGCTCCACGCTGTTTCATGTAGCGACACACAGCCGTGGCGGAGGTGTTGTGCTGTGACTGGTGACAGCGAAAGAAAATCCTGACTGTTACTTCTCTCTTTCTCTTTCTTCTCCGCAGCTCAAATTGAAATTATTCCCTGCAAGATCTGTGGAGACAAATCATCAGGCATCCATTACGGTGTGATAACATGTGAGGGCTGTAAGGTAAGCAAGCAAACAAATATCCGTGTGTGTGGGTGTATATGTATGTGTGTGAATGTGTCAAGAAAAAAAAACATAGAAAAGGTGTGTGTTAGTGCAAAAAAACAAAAAACAAAGGTGGAGACACACACTAGGAGAACACACATGTGCATACATATCTATATCTATATCTATATCTATCTATCTATCTATCTATCTATCTATATATATATATATATATATATATATATATATATATATATATAAAATGTGTGTGCATGTAAATTAAATTAACAAAATGTCTGAACAAAACCTTGTATCTCTAAAATAGTACCTTAATAGAAGAAGGAAAAAAGGTTCTTAGTGTGCTGTGATGTAGGGAGTTCACACCAGAAACATATAGGTCGAGGTTCTGGTCCAAAAATCAGCATTACTGGAATTACTCAGGAACAGCGTACAGAAAAGGGGAAAACACAGCTTTGTGTTAGCTCATGGCTTTTACTGATAGCTGGATTGGCTCACTCACTAGCTACAACCACCACTTCTCAGAACCTATCCCCTCCTTTCAGAATAAAAGTCACTGCAAAAAACTGAGTCTAGCCTTTCTAATGAACTAAATAGCCTAAAATTAGCATGTAAACATTTCTTTTTGATACAAACAAAACATACGCTGTGTACACTGATGCCACAGTGAAATGGAAATTACTGTAAACCATTTATTAAATATTACTTAAATATTTATGAATATTTATATTTTTATAAAGTAAATGACATTGTATTGACATAAACTGACTAACAGACATTTGTTCTATATATAGTGCTATTATGATGCATCATTCCCATCTAATGCCTACTGAAGAATATCATTTATCAGCTCTATGAAAAATTAATACTAATAATGTTTATTTATGTAGCACCTTTCATACATTAAAAATGCAGCTTGAAGTCCTTCAAAACACAAAGTAAAAAAACAGAGGAAGAAGAGAAAAAAGATAACCAGAAATAAAATCAACAAATAATAAATAGCTGAAAAGAGGTTTATGATGCCCTCAAATTTAAAGATTATGAAGATTATGATGCCATCAAATTTAAGTGATGTTTTTCATACTTATTTCCCATATGTATCAAACGTAACTGTAAATATGAGTTGTTTATATTATATTAGTTTTATAGGCCTAGGTGACTACACATACAAAAATGACAAAAATCAGAGTTAGTTGTTCATGGCTACAGCCACATAGAAATTGTAACATATGGAAATATGCAGAACTGATGTAGGGGGTCCCTGCCTCTTAAGTCCCATTACTTGAGACTGAAGCTTCATAACAGTGTTATAACTTGAATGTCAGTCACTTTAGTGAACACAGTTTACAATTTTCACCATCACTGTTGAGTGAGAGCAACAGTATATTGTTCCAACAAGTGGGTGTATATATCCGTAACTGTAGCCTCTTGCTCTCTTTTTTATACAGTGGATTCTTGTTACAGTGGATGCTCTTAAGGGGAACTGTAACTTTCCACTTTGCTGTTGCTTTTGTTAGTTAGCTGCTTGTTGATTTATCCTTAGGTCTTCCATGAACACTGTCCAGCGTAGCCTGCCAAAGGTGCTGAAGGTATCAACAACATACAGAGTATGAGCAGATGGGTTTTGGTCTGCATTACTACAAATGGTTAAAAAGATCAAACGTGAAAACTACATTAATAGAGTGATGTTAATAACTTATCACTTTAACACTTTATTAACATGTCAATTTAAATGGCTGTGATATATATGCTAGAAGCACTAAAAGTACCAAATGTGTAAACATCAGTATGTTCATCATCATTACTCACTGGAGCACACTAGGCTCCAATGACTTTATCACTCCACTATGTGATTATTAGGACAAAGTGACTTCCGCAAGTCGTTTTCCTTCTGCCTTCTCTGGGAGATTTTTATTTTTTTTCTGACTTTAGCTCTGCAGTTACTGTCTCCTCCACAAATAAAACCATCAAAAGTGCAGTGCTTTGAATTATAGCGCATCGTTAGCTGTTTTGCTACACTGTTGAGTTTTTTTTCCCCTTTTTTGTGTTTGTTTCAAACATGCCATCCACTCAGCAGAGGGAATTATGTGCTTATTGTGTATTCTTGTTTGCCACTTGTCACTGGGGCTGGTTGTTAGTATTCTACAGGCAGGCGTTGCAGAGCGTAGCAGAAATGAACAAACGCTGGGGTTCGACTATTTTTGAATGAAAGACAGACTCCCTGTTCAGCATCTCGCTCACTCACACAGCCCAGCGAAAGAGAGGGAAAAAAACGTACAAGCCTGAAGAATAAACTGCTGAAATGTATCTTTAATGATTGCTAATTACTTCAGGCAGAGAGGCATTTAATGATATGTGCGAGCACACCGCTCTGGCCCATAAATCATAGCATTATTAAGGAGTGCCGCTTGTCACCGGCAGTCCTACCCCACTTTCATAATGGCTGCCATTAGAAAGCAACTTGGCAGCTGTCAGCTGTTTTCTTGTAATTAAACAGCCAATGAGCAACTAATTAAGACATATGTGTATCGAGCAGTGGAGTGGGGTATGTTAATGGTGTGCTGGAATCAATTCATTAAGTAAAAGGGATGAGGTATCAACTCAGTGTGGCTGCACACTCTCTCTCGCTGTCTCTCTCTGTCTATGTCTCTCTCTCCCTCACTCTCCGTCTCTTTCAACACCCACTGGTTTTGGACTCAGTTATTCGACTCTAATAGCCGTGCCCAAACTCGCCATTATTTACAATCACAGGCATGCAAATAGTGGCACTGAGTACAGCGCATTAGCTAAGCGCCTTTTATTTCAGCCCTTTGCCAGTATTATGCGGAATTATATAAAACAGATTCGTCCCCTGATGAAACAGTGATTTCATGTATATGACTCAGGATTAACAGAAGTGATCTCACCCCTTAACCTTCTGCTTATGTTTATGACCTCATCCCTGGTTACTGTACACTCTTAAAAATAAAGACTCCTAAGTGGTTCTTGGCTTAGATGTACATTTCCAAGAAAGACCTTTAGTTGGAAGATTCTTTACATTATGGGGAGAGTTATTTAAACTTCTTTAAAAAAGGTTCTTATGAGGTTCTTCAGGGAACCAAAAGTGGTTCTTCTATTGCTGCAAAGAACTCTTTCTGTCACCATTATTTTTGTGTATGTCTTTATGCATTATTTTCTCTCAATTGAACAATTTCTATGAGCGCTTATTCAGTTTGAAAGAGAATGTAGTCATGCATTATGGAGTTTGCTTCATAGCTGTCTTCTCTCTGTGTCTCCTGCAGGGTTTCTTCAGGAGGAGTCAGCAGAGCAATGCTGCGTACTCGTGCCCGCGTCAGAAGAACTGCCTGATTGACCGTACCAGCCGAAACCGCTGCCAGCACTGCAGGCTGCAGAAGTGTCTGGCCGTGGGCATGTCGCGGGACGGTGAGTTTGGGGCCGATGTCGACCTGGACTGGTGGGCACTGGGAAGCACAGGCCCTCTCTTTTAAAGAGGGCTTTAAGGCCATGCCAACATGAGCTGGAAAAATACATGTGCTGGAATATGTGAATGGATTTTAGGCAGCTTAGGCTAAACGTGTCAGTCTACACAGAGACTGCTGTCGAACACTTGAGAAATTCTGTCAATAGTGCGGAGTCTAAACTTTCAGTTAATATGACAGTTATGTTTGTAAGTAGACTTGACTTAAATGTGATGAAAAGTAATTGTTGTGCTTACATTCTTGATATAGAAATAGTCAAAAAATAGTCAGAAACACAAACAGTCAGAAAACTCGATCCAGTCAATACACATTATAACTGTGTAATAATTCTGTAGTTATTATATTTTATATTAAAATTAATATATTATATTATTATATTAAACAGGCTAGAAACAACAACAGTACTGACTCTCCACTTCTGAAAGATAAAAGCTCTAAAGATGAACTGGCTCCCTAACCTTAACGCATGGAGTAAATGAAACACCTATAACTTTGTTTTCCACGATTGGACCTTTATCCAGGTTGTGTCCATTGCTCACTTGCATTAAGCTCTTAACCTTTTAATGTGGAACCAAAATAGTATCTGTTTCTGCCCTTTAGAGTACTGTTCTCTATTAATGTCTAATGTTGTTGATGCAGTTATTTTGATATTTAGTGGTTATTTGATTTGAATTTGTTAGAAACTCACATTTTGAGCAAGCAGGCACATGAATATACTTCACTCTTCAGAATCTACGCACACTCGCTCAGTACGTAGAGCATATTATAAAACCCCAAAAACTCTGGGGGCAGGTTTTAATGAGTTAAGGGGATGCTGACGAAATGTTAGGTAAGATAAGGTTAAGATGTTAGAATACCTCCGATGTCGCAGAGTGAGAATGTCAATCTGTGATCAACTCCCCTCATCCATGTATCTGTATATGCTGTGGGCAAAAGGCAAAAAGGCACTTTTTCTCCAGAAAGTTGAATACATATGACTACAGACATGCATGTTTTTTTAGACTACACTTCAGACTGCCATGTCATTTGGTATTCAGCGGTGGCTGCATTTAGAAAGCAAACGCTGCTTTCTTCCAAGCCAGTGACAAGATCAATGGCCAGGCACTCTGTTTCCTGAGTTAGGTCTTGTGTTGCACTTCGGGGCATGACCAACTCTGGGTGGAGAGAGTGTGACAGCAAGTAGCTTTTATTAAATGACTGTCATTAGGAAGGCTCATTAAAGCCTTTGCAGGTGAGCAGCATTATCGGGAGCACAGGTGAGAGCGTGTGTGTGTATGCGGGTGTGTATGTGAAGGCCCCCTGCAGGGGCTCTGGCTGGGCTGTGTGACTGTGGCCCGTAACAGGAGGCAGTAATCAGGCCAGGCCATCAGAGTCTGCTGGGCTGCTCTCTCACACACAACCAGGACAGGCAAGGTGACTTCTGACTTCACTCAGACGGGAGCTCGCTGGCCCCCATCTGCCTTGTACTGTCTCTCTCTCTCACACACACACTAGGGCTGCACAAAAAATCATATTAAAATTGTGATCTCGATTAGTTATAAATCACATTTGTCAGTGCAATATGATTCTAGAACAGAGTCGATCTGCAGACTGATAGTAAGGCCGCAGTGATCGGAGCAGGCCATAACCAGGCGTTCTTTTCCATGACAGCACACTTAAGTCAAGCCACTTTTAGATCAGAAGTGGTATCCACAGTGCTTCTGCACTGCATCGGCCAGCTTGGCCCATTGAGTATTGCACAAATGACAGTAGAAGTAATGCACAGTCACCGTGCTTGAAACTTAAAGTTTAACACGAGCTGCGTGGCAGTAGAGGCATGCACAGAACACTTACATGGCATTTATCACTTGCAGTCTGCTCTGCTGTCCCGCTGTGTGGAATAAAACAAGCTCTCATTAGCCTCATTGGTGCTGTTGGTATTTTATGCTCATTGACACAGAGCAAAGCAGATCACTAAAGTTTAACTAGTTAAGACTAATTCCAAGATGCAGGTTCATTCTGTATTAGTTTTACATACATGCCACCCTAACACTGTCTGGGTGTGTGCCTTCATATGTAATGCTCTCTGTATGCTACAGCTGATCTGCAGTTCAGAGCACACTTTGAGCAGTCAGTTCATCTATGTTCAGTTGTACAAACAGGATTTTTATTTTTATTTTTGTGAAAGAGGTTTAAAAACCCTCACAGATCAGCACACATACACACTGATATCAGGGTCATTCTCACGAAACCACCTCAAAACATGTCCATAACTACTTGAGTGTCATACGCATCACGCAGATAAACAGTACTTGTATAATTTAGTAGATCAGTTGGAGCTCTACAGCAAGAAAAAAAAAGAGTTCATTTTCCTACATTTTTTTTTGCTGTTTTGGCATTTGTTCTTTTGTTGTTTGGCAATGTTCTCATTACCATCTCATTATATGTGTCCACATATGTATTTCTCATTACCGATATGTATCATTTTTCCACCTTTTTTAATTAGAAAAAATGAGTTTGTTACTTTTAACTGTTGAATCTCTTTACTTTTTATTTGTTGGTTATGTTTACCTTGTAAACTGAAAACATGTAAACCAAAACAACAAAATGTTTTGTGGCTCCAGTAAAAAAAAAGCAAAAAACTAATGACTGTCAAAGTTATTAAAAAACATTATTTACAGATTTATCTTTAAATCTTGCTGTGTTGCAGTAATGAGAATTTGGTCACTTAAATGGGAAAATGTTACTAAAAAACAGTTTAAAATCTGTGAATTTATTCAATTTTCTCTTTTAGTTATTTAACCAGGCGTCATCAAGAGAACATTGTTTTAGTCATTTTAATTTTTCAGGTTGGTTCCCAGTATTTGTTATGTTCATGAGGATAACTCAGCTCCACTTGCTTTTTCTTTATCCTTACCATCTGTTGCTTTCCCAAAACTGTCTCCCTCTCTTCATTACAGTCTGTCCCTCCATTTGCACCTTTATCACTCCTCCACTATGACCAAGAACTAAAAGACAAGCTTGTATAATCAAGCCCCACTCTCATTTCCTCTCTTACCTCTGTGCTCAGAGACTAAAGAGTTCTTTTCTCTGGGCTCCCTCTGTTTCCCATACTTCAGCATTCAGGCCTTCTTTCTCTTTGCATTACAAGTCGTTTATCTCCAGCCAATTTTAAAATGACTCAAAGTTACAGTTTTGGTCTGAGATGACATTCATTTAGACATGAAAGATAAAAACCAATTGTAGAAAAATGCCATTAGTCTCCACCAGGACTGCACTTAATGGACACAATACTAGTATAGTGATTTTATCAAGACATAATGTGTTTATGATGCGTCTTGCAGTATGTCGTCACTGTTGTAACAAAACGCATCTCCGTAATGGTAACTTCACAGGAAAAGTCTTATCTTACTTTAAAAAAGTTATTTTTAATGTATGTTTATGTAACAAGAATTTATTCCATATAATTTCAGACCATTTTTATTGGTCCATTCACCATGAAATGTTAAGGGTAGCTGTAATAATTAACTACACTTTATGATATCAGTATTGCAGAGGACAATATAGCGGTAATGATTAACAAAGAATATATTGTGCAGGCCCTAGTCTGAACTATACAACACCTTTTCCTCTATTCTAACAGCTTTTACATCAACTGTCTCTGAAAGACCTGGTCCTGTGGCTGATAGTAGTGCTAGCTGTTCTGCATTCACTCTCCCTCTTCTGTTTACTGGGCTTGTACATGTTCGCTGTGTCTTGTGCCTTGTCTTGTTCACTCTGAGTCATCCTGGCCGAGCCTGCTGGCCCTGTCTTAATCTGACAGGTAAGAAGCAGTGGAAAGTTAATGCTGTAAAGATGTCAAACTGGGGAAGTATTTTACACCCATTACTCTCCTAATGCGCAGGGAGAGAACTCATTCCCGCTGGGCTGGCCATGCTCTCACTGCTGCTACATTAAGCTCCTTGTCTTAGGACCACATCCCTGAGGAAAAGGACATGTTAACATGTTAGTTTGCTGATTTCAGTAGAGAAGGAGTGCTGCCACTTAGTTGTATCTCCAGTGTGTCCTCAGAGAGATGCAAACTTCAGGGATATAGCAGTGGTTCCCTTCACCGGTCCCTGAGTATCCTCTGTAAGGCAGGTTGTTACGTTTTTTTTTCCCATTTCAACTTCGGAGAAGCTTATTAATAAGCTAATGAGCTGGATTGTGCATATTAGAGAGATAAAATGCCAGAATATGTATATAGAGTTTGAGTTGTTCACATAGGTGGTGCTAGGAACCAGACACCTGAAGCCTCTAAAAGCTTCCCCACAGAAAACCATTCATAAAGTGCTCATAAATACGTTGTTTGACACATGAGATACGGTTTTCTGATAGTTTTGAGAAGGTTGAGATGTTCATCCCGGTCATTACACAGCAAAATAGTTCTGAAAGAAAACATATTTTTTTAGACCTACCACTATTTTACCATCATGAACATTACATATACAAACTCAGCAGAAGCATGTAGGTATGTTGAACAGTAAATATAATGGCTATATTTGCATTGTAGACATCACATGCTTCCTGTCACCACCACTGTAAAGAAATCTGAGTCATTTCATGTCAGACCACTCTGAATAACTTTGTTTACATCTCAGTGACTAAATTATGCAGTAACTCTGTTGAATTCCCCTTTAATCCTGGGCTGGAAAACTGGCCCAATAATTTACAAAAATAGCTACTCCAGTCAAGTGTTGGGAACCACCAGCTTAGGTCAGTTCTAAACAGTTCTATGGACACATTTCCTGATGAAAGAGAGTACGACTGTTTGCATTTTCTGTCCTCTCCAGCGGTGAAGTTCGGCCGCATGTCCAAGAAGCAGCGGGATAGCCTGTATGCAGAGGTGCAGAAGCACCGGCTCCAGCAGCAGCAGAGGGACCACCAGCAGCAGCCCGGCGAGGCCGAGCCGCTCACCCCCACCTATGGGCTATCAGCCAACGGCCTGACTGAGCTGCACGATGAGCTTAGTGGCTACATGGACGGACACACGCCGGATGGCAGCAAGCCCGACTCTGGCGTCAGCAGCTTCTACCTGGACATCCAACCCTCACCTGACCAGTCCGGCCTGGACATCAACGGCATCAAACCCGAGCCCATCTGCGACTTCACACCAGGATCGGGCTTCTTCCCCTACTGCTCCTTCACCAACGGAGAGACCTCTCCCACTGTCTCAATGGCAGAGCTAGGTAAGCATAGCTGAGACTATAGAGGCAGGATGCAGAGAGATATGAAGGATTTTCAGTAGGGTTGCAAATATTAGTCAATTAAGTTGGATCAGTCATCGAAGACATTGTAAGTAGCAAGGTAACAAAGTTAGCCTCAGCCTCAATCAGTTCTAATACAGTATTTTCAATAAAGTATGTGGTCAATTTTTAAAGGGCCCATATCATGAAAAAGACATATTGTCTTATATTTTTAAATAAAAGATTTGGATGTAGAATGTAAACATGTTTAAAGTTTAAAAAAATAAATGATTACTTTTTTTGGTACATAAAACCACACCAACATTATAAGTAGACCTCAAAGAAAAATTAAAATACAAGAAAATTATGCAATAATGAGCCCTTTAAAATTTGGAAAATTAAACTACTGTTTACTGTAGTTTACAAATACACTGAATTGCTATACCCTGAGAGAAGAAGCTGCAGAAGGCATAAAGACTTGATTAGCCGATTAATCGAACAGTAATGGGCAAATTAATCGGTTATAGTCATAATAGTTAGATGCAACCCTAATGTGCAGTAGGGACTATGTGATTGCTGCTGGGGGATGCTGCACTGGGGGTGGGAGATGGGGAAGAACTCAACCGTGGGGCAAATGACACAAAGGTGGCTTAAAATAGCAGGAGGTTGGAGACTCATCTCCGAGACTCATTAAAAGTGCCTCTTTTTTGTAATTAGTTTCCATTAATTAGGGCCAATCAGGATCCAGCAGGGCACGCATCGAGGGAAATCATTTTTTTAGGTTCCCCTTGTGCTCTGGGACTCCTTATAACAGATGTGTTTTCAACATGATTGGATTTTTATACTTTGTGTTTTTTTCCCCTTTTGTCTTTTTTTTTTTATTGAAAGCAAATGTGACCTTTGTTTCCAAGCCTGATGCACATATATTCATCTCCCCTTCTAACACACACACATACAGAAAAACACAATTCCTTAAAATATTCCACTACTCAAGCACGGCCCTCATCCCGGAGGTAGTAGAGGAAAATGTCAACAAGCTTCTAAATCAAATTTAAAGGCAAAACAGCAATAACACACATGCATACTCAAAGCACTGTGTTTTTATATTGCACAGGCAAATCTGCCTCGTAAAGAGAAAATCTCTCCTTCAGTGTCTCTGCAACAATAACATTCTCCCGAACTAAAAGCAGCCACTGTTTATTGGCAAATTGGAAAAAAAGCACTATGTCTAGGACGTATAGAGTAGAACATCTGTGCGTGCACTGTGTGTGTGGGTGTGTGTTCATGTGTGTTGGTGCGTGTCTGAGTGTTTGACGCTGCACTGCTTGCCCGTTGCAGAGCATCTGGCCCAGAACATCTCCAAGTCCCACATGGAGACATGTCAGTATCTGAGAGAGGAGCTGCAGCAGATGACCTGGCAGGCCTTCCTGCAGGAGGAGATGGAGAGCTACCAGAACAAGGTAACACTCTCCCCTGCACATACGCCACAACCACTGTCACCCACATCTCCTCATCGGCTGTGTCAGCCGTCCAGAAGTTGCTGAAATGCTTGATACCACAAACAAGTCTAGAGGTCACTTTTAGCTTCATTTTAATGAGGTTAGAGAAAACTGCTATGATTTTCAATCCGATTCATTTCATTTAAGGTGCACTTAAAATATCTTTTCAAAAAACAGTTGCATAAACTTGGTACCAATATCATGTCACATGACTGTCTAAAAAAAATTAATAAATATAGAAAGGCTTCGAAATACTTTAATAAAATCTCTTTATATTAACAGTTATTTACCATTTTGGAGACACATGTTTTTGAAGAGTGAAAGCTCTCCAAAAACAGGAGCTCCATGAAAGATTTAAAGCAACAGTTTAATGGAAAATCAGATTTACTTCATTTCTTCCCTTTCCCAAAATGTAGTCAATCAAAAAGACCTATTTGGTGTCTAAAGTTTGCTCCTTTAGTTTTGCACTGGAGCTACACGGCTAATGTAGCAAGTAATGGTTATGGATATTAGCATTGTGGAAACTGTGGATTTGTATCATAAAATTATTATGTCATATAGCTTAAAACAGTAATAACCGCCATCATAAAGCCAGCCATAACTTGCCAGCTGAAATCATCTTAAATCTAGTCTAATATTCCTCATTTTGAGATTGTTGTAAGAACATTGAGATTATTTTACGTATTTTATGTACTCATTTTAGTTGATTTTATCTATTGAAGTTATCTTATTCTATTGGCAGATCATTTTGCTTGTTTTGTGCATTATTTCTTGAAACAAGCAGAATTTTCTGCCAATAAAGTTGAACTATTTCTTTAAGGTAAGATTACTTAAAACAAACATCAAGAAATACATTTCATAAACATCTCATAATGATAAATACTAGTAATATTGACTAGATTTAATGTTTTCACTTTCAAAGGTATAACATGATCAACTACATATGGGGTAAAAAGGGGAAAAATAGTAAATTATATTTTTAGATGAATTATTACTTTAAAGCAATAAATAGATGATGTATTGCTTCTCCTGCCAGTGCTCCTCAAAATATCTTGAAATGTGTCGTTGTTATTATTCACATGTGCTTTTTTGGAACACCTGTGCATGATTGTGAGCGATGGGTTCACACTGACTCAGCACTGTTTTCCTAAAACCATTTTTTTAGGTTATGTACAGGCCTTTACTTATATGGCCAGTCCAAAATGGTGTCAAATTTTTGTTGTTATTATTTTGTTAATACTGATACTGCAGATAGTCATTCATCTGGCTGCAGTCACAGTAAACTGCTGTAGCAATTCATTATTCAAATGGAATAATACAGACACGCACACAAAAAATTCATCTGTTTGGAGGAAATGAAAGGGAAGTGTGGAAAACTTTATATTTCTAACACAGCTAATCAGACAGGCTCTGCTTGCCTAGAGCATGTCTGATTGTATAAACTAACATTTCTATCTAGAAAACATTCCAAACAACTCTGAAAGCAGATTACGGCAGAACTGACTGCCGGTCGTTTACTTACATGTTGATGTGAAAAATTCTGCATGCAACACCTTTAGTCTGTTACTAAGTGCATTAAAAGGGATAATCAAATACAGAGCGTTCCTCTCTTCTGTTCTGCTCCTCCAGCCCAGAGAAGTCATGTGGCAGTTGTGCGCCATTAAAATCACAGAGGCCATCCAGTATGTGGTGGAGTTCGCCAAGCGCATCGACGGCTTCATGGAGCTCTGTCAGAACGATCAGATCGTGCTGCTCAAAGCAGGTACTGAGACTGCATCTGCCTGCATGTGTGCATTATATCACTGCTAACCTAGCATAGTCTATATATATATATATATATATATGTGTGTGTGTGTGTGTGTGTGTGTATATATTCCCAATATGTTACATTCAGCAAATGACAGTAATTGTACATTTCTTTAAATGTACGATCATTTGTAGAAGATGTGTTAACTTATTTTCACTTAGAAAATCAGCAGAACACGTCATTTGATTATTTTGTAGCTGACAAATATAATAATACATAAAATATTTGTATATATTGCTATATGTGTTAATAGTTCATTACTTGTATAGTACAAATAGCTTTATATGAAAAATACACAAAATATATTACCTAAAAATAAGTTTTGGCCTGTAAACTTTTGGCCCTACTGGCATAACAGTGTCCATTTCACCCTTATCTAAGACCAGTTCTGAACTTCCTTCTCTGATGTTTCAGATTCAGATTCAGAGCAATGAAGCTCATGGGGTTTTAAGTGGCTGTCGTGTAATACACAGATATCCTGTAGCCTTCTCTGCTGCATTCCCAGAGACAAATATGAGGAAAAAAAGCAGGAAGTGAGGACATAGCATGGCTGAAGTACTTAGGAAGTGAAATACATTTGAAACGAAATTCCCCAGTTTGAGCTCTCCCCTCTCAAAAGACGGGGCAAACTGCTCTCCAATGCACAAACAAATCCTGAAGCTCTGCACTCCCTCGATGTATGCCTGCATGTTATTTGTGCTAGCTCTGCCAATATTAATAATGACATACTGACAGGGATCCCTCGCCTGATGTGACATTCTAAAGCAGTGGCATCTCCCTAAAGCTCGGTAATGGCTTCCATTACGGCGTGTTTATCCTCTAATCCAGTTCTCAGTGAGCACTCTTCAGCGGAATTACATCTCCCACTCTCAACAACAATACAACGGCCCACCTGAGTCACACACACGGGAATGCAAACACACATAGAGTACACATGCAGCACAAAGGGAGATCACAGTAGGCATGGAGGCGTTTCTGTTGTTATGTGGATTTCAGTGGATTACATACTCTCTATTTCAGTGATAGTGAGATGGTTTTTAATTTAGACAGAAAATCAACCAAAATGACACAGTTAGTGTGGCTGGTAAACGAAGAGGAGGAACCTGTGGGTTATCGAAGAGACTTGGCAATTACAGACCAAATCAAAGTGGAGTATGAGTCAGAGTTTCATGGCACAAACGATGCCTGTGATGATTCTTTTGGGTCGGATAAATCTCACGCTGATGTTTTTTGCCGGCTGCAGGCTCTTTGGAGGTGGTGTTTGTCAGAATGTGCCGTGCCTTTGACCCTCAGAACAACACAGTCTATTTCGATGGAAAATATGCTGGTCCGGATGTGTTTAAGTCATTAGGTAAGTAGAAGGCAACCTCATCTTCTGTGTTGTTCCCGTTCCACCTGCAGTCCTTTAACTATCAGTGTTTTTGTGTTTGTCAGTCAGTGTTCGCTTTTAAAAATGGAGCCAAAATGATTTAGAGTGATGCCACAGAACCACTTATGGTTCACTAAAGAACCTGTCAGTGGATGGTTCTTTAAAGATTTCATTTAAAGCCATTCAATTGAAAGATTCTTTAGGTAATCCAAGGTGTTTCTTTCACGGCATCACTCCAAACCCTCATGTTTTAAGAGTGTATTTTGCTGTTCTTTTTTATGACTTCTGCTAGTTTGGGCAATAATTGTCAAAAATTGTTGAAAAATGAGGGAAAAAAACACCTCTATGAAAAGGCTGATTTCTCCTGGCATCATTAAGGGATTCTAGTATTATGTTAGCGTTACGCTAACAGCAATGTACATGAACATTTCTTGGCCATTCTAGATTAAACACAGACATCTGAGGCTTGTAAAAGACATTCCATCTTTTATTTGGAGCGTGTAACAGACATATTAACACATATTTACCTTGTATGTAGCAGTTTTATTGTAACTATTTTAGTAAAGAGTGTGGGCATAGAGCCATTGCAGTTTTCTAACAACTGACTAAAACATATTGGTTAGACTACAACTCCTTTTCACAGTCAGTGATATATGTAGGACTTGCAGAAGGTCATTTTTCTGACCTATTGTAAATAAATTGTGATTGGTTGATTGCTCTGTCACTTCCTAACTATGTTAGTGGTTAGTCTGATGAGTTAGGCCTGCAGTTCAGATCCTGTTAACCAAAAGATTGAACATGTGTACGTTCACTGGTCATTTTTGACAGTATATAAAAGCCTATCACCACCACTGTAAAGACATCGGAGTCATTAGGTTTCTCTACTATGCACCATTTTATATTAAAACACTCTGTTTACATCTCAGAGATTGAATTATGCAGAAATTCTGAAATGGTGGAATTCCCCTTTAACAATGAAAGAGTATCACTACAATACTTGCAGAGTTTGAATACAAAGAGTATGATTATTATGTTAAATAAAAATGAACAAAAACTTAAAGAGATATTTTTTTTATGTCACAGAAATCTTCAGGCTGTCTCTATGGGCCTAGAAGGCCCTGTGAGTTCTGCCTAAAACATATTATTGGTGATGAATTCAGAAACCAAGTTTATTAGTTAAACTGACAGCTTCTGTCAGCACATACACACACATTAACTCACACTGAGCGACTGAAACTGGCCCCACATATCTATCTTACCCATTAATGTAGAGTAGGTTAGCTTCTCCAAGATCACGGCCCAGCCTTTTGCATATTTCTTATGTCTAGAAAAACCATAAGATTGAGTGCCTATTGGGGGAGTTTTATCAAGCCTGCAATCCATACAGTCATAATCCAGGCATTGGATTTCTCTAGTGTAAGCAAATAACATTTATGTTTGAATGCCATGACATTAGTAAAAATCCCTCCACTGGAGTTCCTTGTGCGCATCCAAAGCCTTTTGAGGCAGAAAGCTGTCCAAATGCCAGAATGAATACAAATGTGAGGAGGGAGAGAGACGTGCATGTGTGCGTGCGTGTTTATATTAAGGAATCTCAGTGTGTGCATTTGTGTGGGCGTCCTCAGTGATGTAGCAACAATGGTGTCTTATTCAGTGTATTGCGTGTGGCCCCTTCAACAAGCCAGCCTCTGTCCTCCGCGCTGTGGAGAAAGCAGCAGACTGCAGGCTTCAGCTGCTCCTCTGCCATCAAAACGACTGTGCAAGCCCTTCCAGTCATTGATTTTACTAAAAGTCTCGTTAGTGACCCCAGTCATGGTTGCATAACGGCGCTCATCTGCCAAAACATGATTAGTGTGTGACAGAGAGAACGGTGAATAAAGGCCTTCAGTAATGCGGCTGCCACTGTTCCCTCACTGTGTTGCTGTCGACGGCGTGTGTATGCGTGTTTGTGTGTGTGAGCGAGTGTATGTTTATACTTTTCCTGTGCTAAAGATCAAGAGTGCGCTTGACACCTTTGTCTGCATCTTCCCAACACCCCCACCCCCTCTCTACCTCTGGCAGGCTGTGACGACTTGATCAGCTCTGTCTTCGAGTTTGGGAAAAACTTGTGTTCTATGCACCTGTCTGAGGACGAGCTCGCCCTGTTCTCGGCGTTCGTGTTGATGTCTGCAGGTAGGAGCACAGCTAACAGCAGCTGCAGAGTTCTTACACAGCCAGATAGAACCATTCCCTGCTCTACCACTGCACACACATAACACTGGGGTGCCTTTTTTTGTTTTTACTATGTTTTACATTCAGTCTAATCTAGTCCCAGTTGCCCTATGCGTGTCAAAGCCTAAGAGTAACATGCTGTCTTATATCAGATTCCCATTCCACAGCATAACTTACACCAGCCCTGTTCCAAGTGTTCCACTGTGTCAGATGGAATATAAATTCAGTGCTTTATTGCTTCTGTTTTGCACATGGTGGTTTATTTCTTCATTATGTCATCTCTTTCTGTGTGTGTGTGTGTGTGTGTCAGACCGCTCTTGGCTCCAGGAGAAGGTGAAGGTGGAGAAACTTCAGCAGAAGATCCAGCTGGCCCTACAGCATGTCCTGCAGAAGAACCACAGAGAGGATGGCATACTCACAAAGGTACACGCATGAAAAATGCAAGACGACAGCAAGGTTCATCCCCAGGCCATACAGCCCATGTATGGAAACTATGCTGCAAAAACAGTCCACTTTGAATTCTTTGTTTTTGTGACATCACAAAAAAGCAGCACATTTACATATATCCACCTATTCAGCCTACAGCAGCTGGACTGTTTTTTGGATGAGGCACAATACAGGGTAGCCAATCAGAACAGAGATCATCTACTTCTGTCAGTCTTACAGGCATAGTAACAAAAAAGCCTGTTTGATTCTAAATGAAAAAGAGTGAGTGGACAATGGTTGTGTGAAAATGTTTGGTACATAAAAAAACATATAAATGTCATAATGTCAGAAAAAGGACAAGAAAAATACAGGCTTTAGATCATTAAATATTACCATATCAAACATTCACCTAAAGGTATTTCTGAATGTTTCAAGAATCCTGTGAACAAGAAGTGGATTTAATTATAATTAATGTACTGTAATTGTCTTACTTACAATTATTTTTGTCATCTGCCTTGAGTTTTTCAGCTTTTGAAGTATAATGAATTCTGGATATTGATTGTATTATAAATTCATACTGGATGTTAAACATCTTTGTCATCCTGGAGAAAATGCCTTCATTTTTATTTTACCTTCCTTGTATCTTACTGATTATTTGTGAAATTGCGCAGGACAAACATATTCAAATCATTTTATGCATTTATCTGCAACCAAAATGGTTTTATATTATTCAAAACAGTGATTCCAAACTTTTGAACAGCGATTTCAAAGTTTTGTTGGTGTACATGCCTACAAGAACATGACAAGTAAGCATAACTCTTAAAAATAGAATTCACACACATTCAGATTCACGCACATGCATGAACGTATGTAAACATTTTAAAGGGATGATACACTTCATTTTCCTTGTTTTTTTGTTTTTTTTTTCTTCCATGAGGTCCACTTCTGACATTTGTGTGGGTTCATGTATCAAAAACAGTTATAATACATTTTTACATGACCATTTCATACCTCTCTTTATCCTTTACGGTTAAATAGGCTGTTTTTCTTACTGTGCTTTCAAGACTGACATATGTAAATGTGGTCTGATCTGATGAGTTCTGATTGGCTGTCATGCACTGTGCCTCATTCAAAGAGCAGTTCTGGCTAAAACATATAACTTCATCGTGAATATGCAGTGCTAAACTGCTGCAGGCTGAACAGGTGGATGTGAATGTGTTATATATAAATGTGCAGGTTTTGTAACATTACAAAAACAGTAATTTCACAACGGGCTGTTTTTGGAGTTTATGTTCCATATATAAACTGTACGGACTCTGGAGTAAACAAGATATTTTGAAACTTTCAGTGTTGACATACTACATCAATCTATCCTATGAAGCCTGGGAAAATGGGTTATGGGCCCTTTAACATTTGGTAAAGGTGCATGACATATTTGAACATTAGTTGCTAATTATGTGAAGAAATATCCTGCACATGCTACTTATTTCATTTCTATATATTCTTACTGCTGTTGACTTATGAACAGCTAAAAAAGTGCCATTTTTTCTCTTCCTAGTAATGAATGAATGAATTTATGGTTTAATCCATTAAATATGATATGATTTGACAGTTTGACGATGAGCTAATGCGCATAAAAAGAGGGCCCATCTGTGCTGAATAAGAGCGTATGAAGAGTTGAGTGTGTAACCCTGTGTGAGGGTTCAGTCATGTGAGAGGGAGGGAGGAGCCGAGCTGGTTCTCCAGATACCCTCCTCTTCCTCCCCTCCTCATCTCTGAGTTTTCCTACTGAGTCACAGTAACAAACCTCCCTGTATTACCCCCCTCCCCCTTTCTTTTTCCCTCTCTCTTGCTTTACCTTTCTCTTTCTTTTCCCATCTCCCCTTGTCTTCCATTCTCCTTTAATTCCACCCTTTTGCCCTCTTGTCCTTTTTTACACCTTCTCTCTTTTTCTCTCCCAATCTCCTTTTGTCTTTCTTTTTCCACCCTCTTACCCCCTTCTTGCTCTTTTTTCTCTCCTATCTCACTCTGTTTTCCACCCTCTTGCCCCCTCTCTCCTTTTTTCTCTCCACACTCTTTTTTCTCTCCTCATCTACTCTTGTCTCTCTTTTCCACCCTCTTGCCCCTCTCCTTTTTTCTCTCCTCTCTCTCTGTCTGCACTCTCCCATTATCTTTCTCTCTTTCTCTTTTTCGTCCTCTCTTACCCCATCTCTGCTTGCTCCCCCCTTCTCTCTGTCTCCACTCCTGCTTTCACTCTCTCTCTTGCTCTCTCTCTCTCTCTCTCTCTCTCTCTCTCTCTCTCTCTCTCTCTCTCTGCAGTTGATATGCAAAGTGTCGACACTGCGAGCGCTGTGCAGCAGGCATACAGAGAAGCTGACTGCTTTCAAAGCAATATACCCAGACATTGTGCGCACCCACTTCCCCCCGTTATACAAGGAGCTGTTTGGATCGGACTTTGAGCAGTCCATGCCTGTGGACGGCTAGTGGCCCCTTCGTCCTGCCCTCTGGGGGGCAAAAAACACCGTGGGGAATGTCGAGCATGAATCTGAGACTTTACCAGTGCCCTGCACACACATACACACACATACACACAGACACACACGACACACAAACACACACACACATACACATACCAGGACAGCGAACCTGCTGCACACACAACTTTCCCGTTTTTTGTTGTTTTTCCTTTGGGAGGGCGTAAGCCAGAGGAGGCTTTGATTTGAAGGGGTAATTTGCGAGGTTTATTCCCCTCCTTTTTTGACACAGGTGGGATTGAGGGGGCCCAGGGGAGAGGACGAGAAGATGAAGACACTCGTTTTCTCTCTCTTTTTCCCATTCTCTCTCTCTCTTCCCGGCTCAAGCTGAAGCACTCATGCATACGACATCAGAACTGTCCCATGACGATTCCTAATGATCAGCAGAAATTGTTTCGACCCGTTTCCAAAAGAAGAAGAACCAACGATCTACAGAAGGACATCCCACTGAATCAGACCACTCAGTTTCAGAAGCCAGCAACCAGTTTCTGATGTCCAGCACAACCTCCAAATCAGTCTGCTACACCTTTGCACACTATGAGTGCAGAGATTGTGACCCATACAGCATGCACATGCCCGGCTGAGCCACCTCTCCTCTTTTAATGAGACGGCCTCTGCTCAGAATGCAAGCAGGCTGCGAAAGAGATTGGAAGAGGAGAGGCAGAGGAATAGAGAGAGACGGGGACAGAGAGAGAGAGAGAGAAGAAGAGCACGAGAGAGAGAGAGAGCTCAAGGAATGTGGAACAGAGCTGTTGGCATAAGGTGACGTGAAGCGGCACCTTTCTTAGGACAATCGTCAATAAAAAAAAAAGAAGAAGAAGAAAAAAAAGTAGAATTCTGGTAATTCTAGTTTTTAAAAAAAATGCAATTACTTTTAGCTGTCGAAGACTCCATCCACCATGGTTGCTTAGTGATATCATGTAAGGCCATCTGCTATTAAATCCTTTTCTGGACAGGTGCTTGCAGTTTAACTGAGCACACCGCCACAATGCAAGGGTCCATTCCACCTGTTTTCTAATGTGCTACAGGGTATATGGTCATAAGTACTTACTATACAGAAAAAAAGTAATGTTTATAGAATCTATTTTAAATAACATGTATGATATTAGTAGCTAGACTATTCTTAATTGTTGAAATTGATAAGGCACTTTTATTTGCACCTTTCTTTAATTTAAGACTTGTATATTTACCTAGTGATGTGTTGCATGTGCAAAAAGAAATACAAGTGAAAACCACAGAGTCACAGAGGCTACACGTTAGAAGCTCCTACAGCGCTGTGTGTGAGAGGGTCAGGTTTCGGGCGGATGCTGGGTAAAAGCTGAAGGAAAGGCGCCGAGAGTCGGAGTGCTGTTTTTTGATCAGTGCTGTGTTTTAGCACTTACCGACTACGAGAAGTGTTGGCGGGGTGGAATCTGATCCCAGATCAGCATGTCCACTTTCGGATATTTTGAGTTTTTGGCCCTTGTTCTGCTCTGCAATCACTGCCACTACTCTTGTTCCATCCACAAAACCATGTCTTATTCTAAAGAGGGTTTTCTTGTCAGAACTCCCACCTGGTCTGTAAATGGATGAAATGGTGGGCCACGTTTAAAATTATTAATGCCATCCGTCTTACAGTGATTGATACGTACTTGACTGAATGTTAAGCTTAATTCTGTCAAGTTTACCATCCATATAAGAATAAATATAAAGCACATTCTTTAAAGTGAACAAAAACTGTATACGGAAGGCAGACACAGGATTTAGACTGGCTTTAGAATAGCAGAAATCTTTGGCCTGTTGTCTCTCAGCACAAGTCCTGCACTAGCCAACAGTTCCATCTAGTGGCGGAGAGCCCACAGCTTGTGCTCACAAATGGTGCAGAACGCCTATTTCTGACACAGCCAAGTTTCCTGTCTAATTCTGCCCTTATCTGGTTTTGTGGATGAGCATGTAAGAGATTTGCGTTTGTGTTTAGAGCTTTTTAAAAACAGCCTCTCTGGAAAGGCCTTTACCCAGCAGCAGCAATAGCTAGGAGACAGTTAAGGAATTAAAAAAGAGAGAGAGAATGAAATATTCAAAGCCTTGTCTGGTAGTAAAAGTTCTATTTTTGTAATATGTACAGTGCATAAGCTGATGAAAGAGGGAGAGGGAGAGAAAGAAAGTGAGATTATAGAGCACTTATCCCTGCAATAATTAAAATTCTTGTGTTTTTTATGTTTTGCTGGAAAACAAGACGGTGGTAGTATTAGTGATTTTTTTTCTGAATACCTAGCTGTTGTGTGTTGAGTGAATCTAAACCCTTTGAACGTGCCATAGAGGTTTCTCCTACATCCTAAGTCCACAAAAGATTGTGTTGTAACATTCCAGTTAAACTATGATGTGACTATTATAATATCTACATATGATCCAGAAAAACCACTCTGTTAATGAACATTTATCCAATAAATCTGCCAAACAACAAGCTTTTCTAACTCGGTGACACCAAATCAATATTTTGATTTACTTCTTTTCCCCTCATTTCTTCATAGTGTTGTGTGTACAAGTCCTATTTTCCTCAGGGAAGAGTTGTCCTTCTAACTCTGTTTGACACAGTTGTCAATTCATTCACACGAGATGTTGAAAGAAGTATATTAGACTTTTTTTTTCTTTGAAATATTCCCACTGAGCAGATTTCTTTGGATTTCATTCTAAACACAGTTACTAACATTTTAGATCCAGTTTTATGGCTGTTCCTTGCACATTGGTCTTGTCTTTCATTACTTTCCTGTACCTATATTTGAGTGTTCCACATTTATCCAAGCCCCAGTTATGATTTCCAGGGTCAACATGGCTTATTAGCACCATATATTATACACTATAGCCAATGAGAGAATTACCATGAATTCCATATGTCAGTAGCCATGTTTTATTATTCAGTGCAATGTATTTGATTGGTGTTACTGCCCAGATGATTAAAAAACCTGAACATTTGTCAAACTGTGAATGACAATCCAACTGAACTTTTTCTTCAATATTATGAATTGGCAGTGTATGGATTTCAATACGAATGCTCAGGGAGAACGTTTTAGTGAAATTACTGGGGTAGACCCTGATTTGTAGCATCTGTTTGCATGTTTGCCCTTGTCGATATTTAATTTCAGCTGTTATAAGCATTTATCCTGGTCAGTGTGTCTAAGATTGCTCATGTCATAGACCTGAAAAAGAGATATTACCAGTAAAGATACAGAAAGGAAAGCAGATTTCTTCACTCACTTTCAGTTTGTCCATATTCATCACAGCCCTATTCATGTTTTTTTTTTCAACCACAAACTCACATTTCTTCTTCATTCTGTATGACTCGCCTGAACAATATGTGTACAGTATGTGTACATTAAGGTTGATGTAACTTAATAACAGGCCACTGTCTAATCCAGCAGAACAGGGTCCTAAATCATTTAAAAACAAGCAATGAACTACAGTGTCACCCTTTTTGGTCAAGTTTATCTTTTTTTTCTGGATGAGGATTGTTCTAATTGTCACTCATATTGTATGAATCTATGTGCCAAATACCTCTTCTACTATTTGCTCCACTAGCAGATTCTGCCCACGAGCCAGGAATTTGTAGTGCGTTACTAATACGGGTTTCTACAGGGTAGCCACTGCTGTGGAGTTCCCTCTGAACAAGCTTTGATCCACAGAAGACTGTTGTAGTTCTTCTTTCAGTCCACTTTATCCATATTTATCTGTCCTAAAGTCATTTACAATACCCAGTTGCACCGTGAGACGTGTAATGAAGTCAAGTTCTACCACAGCAAACATCATTTTGTCAGTCTAGTTTGTATTAGGTATTAAAAGCAATACTGGCTGTAAAGTAGAACTTTGGACAAATTTATTTTTTCATTCAAAGCAAAGGTACTAAATCATCTCTGGGTGTGTGGTATTGACATGTTGATGTACAGATACATACTCTTGTTGTTAGTGAACGATCCATAAATTGTTTCCATGTGTATTGTGGTTTGTAAAACAGCATCGGTAATCTGTGGTTTCTGCCCTTTGTGTTGATTTCTGTAAAAAAGCAATACGATGCATCTGAACTCGTGTATGCGTGTGTGAGTGCGTTTGATTAAGTCGGACCCCAGACAAGGCTTTAATACAGTAGATAAGGAGCAGCAGGGTCAGCTGGTGAAATATATGGTATATGGATATCTTAGTTTTCCCAGGTTTTGCACAGTTTTAGTAGCACCAAGCTTGAACCCATCGATGAGGCTGCACAAGCATGACACAATGCACCTCTCTATTAATTTCATTCATGACTACATTATGCAAATCTGACATCAAAGGGCCTATGCAGTCACAAATAGCACGGATGGAGTTTACACTGTACCATCTTGTTAACTCTGTAATCCTTAGCGAAGGCACTTAGACTGCCAAAGCCATTTAACAATATTTGAAAGGTTCTGAGAAATGGAATTACAGCGTGACGTCATGCTTGTGAGGCCGTGTTGATTTGAGGGTGGAAGTGTTACTGAGATCTAAACCTTACCAATCACTTTCATTGCATTTTTGAAATTTGAGTTATTGTTGTTGTTTTTTTTTTTTTTTTTTTGTTAATCTTTTTTTTTCTCCCAAAAGCACAGCTGATACAGTTATTAAAAGTGAGATATGTTTTAGAATATAGAAGAAAAAGACAAAAAACAAACAAACAAAAAAAAAACTTTAGCCATAATCGAATGTCAAGCAATAATATATATGGTATATTATTATTCATCTTTGTGCATAGGCTTTTTGACATCTGCATGTAAATACACTTCTTATTTATCACATTTTGTTCCGTTTTATTTGTTTCTCCCTCCCTCTCTCTCTCTCTCTCTCCCTCTCTCTCTGTCTCTCTTCCTCCAGTTTCCATTTTTGTTGTGTATATTTGACTGGTTCTGTTCCCGGGTGGAGAACTAAGAACTTCATATGGCCTGTAAACTGTACAGCTTAATTTCACTCTCTTTCTCTCTCCCTCACCTTTCTGCTTTTAATTCACGATATTTAATGTTATTATTGATCACATGTATAAAGGTAACTTTGTAACTTCTGTCTGTATAGGTAAGAAGAAAATACTGCTATTAAGACCTACTCAGTGCAAATATTTATCTGTTTATTGAATACATCATGCTGTACAGTATCTCTGTTTTTAGTATACTTCTCTCTTTTAGACTTAGTTTGATAGAGGTAGGGTGTGCTGACATTTAATTTTGTGTTAAACTGATGTGTGGTGCTAGGTAAGTTACTTTTGTGAACAGAAATTCTCGATTCATAGACTAGGCCACTCGATTAGTCCGTTCATTTCACCGAGTATTGATGCATTATTGATATTAGGACTTGATAAATAATAAGGATAATGATAAAGATAACGATAGTGGTAAAATTACTTTAAATACCCGGCAAGTACCTGTATCAGTGTGCTAGTCTTGGGACGCGGCTCTTGTTTCCTTCTCACTTTAAGAATAGAAGTAAAAGCAGTATCATCTAATTAAGATTGCATTTCTGATTTGTCGCCATAAAGAAAAGATT